ATTTTATTAAAGCACTGAGGTTACGACAACTTCGAGTTAAACTGATTTCACGGGTTGTCAAAGAGTCCAGCGATTCCTTTTTCCCAGGTGAGCGCCGACTCATTTCGCTTCAATATTCAGGAATGCTCTCGATCTTTTTACGCTTTCATTGCCTCTCGCCCGACATGTTTTGCACGGCGTTTGGTCATGCGAAACCTCCACGAAACATCCACACCTCGCGCGAGGTAACTTCATCCCGATTCTAAAAATAACTCGAGACGAATTACCTATGGAATAGGGTGTATATGGGGGATGGCCTCTCTGTCCCCTTTATAGTCTCTTGCTTAGCATGCATGAGATCAAGATGTCTGTAGCACAAAGAATGGTTAGTAGTGTTCAAACTAAGGGGTAAAGGGCACTGTTCATTCGTCAGAATTGACCGGCAGCCAGACCGTTCCCATGGTAATGAGAAAAAGGTAAGGTAAAGGCGCACACGAGCCAAAGGCCCACACGGCCGGAGCTTATACCAGTTTCCGTAGCATGAAGCAAGCCTAGGAGTATTGCTACTCCCCCCTGGACGGGATCCTAGTCCATCGCAGGGTTATAAATATCATGGAGTTGAAATAGATCAATCATTAACTTGAAGAGATGACGTAGACAAAATTGTTAAGAAAGCTTCTGGAGGGATTGGAGTTCTGAGATGTGTAAGGCATCTCATACCTCATCATACATTAATTACGATGTTCAAATCCATTGTACTACCGTATTTGGATTATTGTAGTATAGTGTGGGGGAGCTGTGGGAAGGGATACGTAACAGACTCCAGACCCTCCAAAACAGAGCTGCCAGGGTGGTAACTTACGCGATCAGTTGAGATACTGGATGAACTTGGGTGGGATAATCTTGAGACACGAAGGACAAGGCAGTAAACGACACTAATGTATAAATTGAAAAATCCCATTGCATCAGATCATTTGGCTCAAATTTTTAATAGTACAAACTCTATGTACTCCTTTAATCTAAGGAACATAATTTGTTTGTAACAAGACTGTATGCTGAGGCTGAAAAAAACAGCTTCCACTATAGAAGGGCGGTCCTCTGGAATAGTCTATGAATTAATTGAAACTGTCCAGCCTGAGATGAGTCAATTTATGAATAATATGCATCGGTTGATATGTAATTTTAGCCAAAACTCCTTTAAAAAGCCTATTTCAATTAAGAAATAACCGGTTCGGCCCTAAGACTGGTACGTTTTAATTTATAAGTCAATACACTATAGCAAATTATAAAAAGACTCTCACTAAGTAGGTAGAATGACATATTTTTTTAAAACCTCACTAATTTTATTATAACCTATATAAAGTACCAGAAACTCATAAGGGGTTGAAACGTGTAAATCTCATA